TTCAATGGTATCAATTCTTTCCAACAGATCCAGTTTGGGTTTGCATGAATTGCAGTAATATGGAAACTCATTGGATGATTCCAGGTATTGAATAAATTGCTCGGTTAATCCCAAGCAGTCATGATGAGTGTATTTCTTACACAGAGAACATTTGATGGAGTTTTCATTATCCTTTAGATTTTTTACTTAGTAACCATTAATTAATTACTTAGTAACCATTACAACAAAAGAAACCACATGGCTTTAAGGCGTTTTCAAGTCCTAAGATTCCTTGTGTGCTGTGAATGGAGTCAGCAGCTGTGGTTCCCGAAACAGGATTCCCGTGTTTCAATAATTCAGCATGTCTTTAGAGATCTGAAGATGATGGCGGCACCCAATTAGGAAGGTGAGGCTCTCGCTCCTGGAGCACTATCTCCCTATAAAGCCACCACCTGCACCAGAAATCACTTTTAAAGCTGCCGCCTGCACCAGTAACAGTGAGTAAACCGGAGCCCAAAAAAACAAGCCCAAAAAACAAGCCCAAAAACGCTGGATTCTGAAGCCCTGGAGCCCTAATAATGCTGGCAGAGCTCCTGCTAGCTGATCCGGAGCCCTCCTCTCCTGCCCCAGAGAAGTGAAGCTCTTTCCATTGAGCCCTATTAACCACACTGGTGGAGCTCTTGAACTGGATCACTTGGAACCAGCGGAGTGCAAACAACGTACCTTCATTTAAATCCCTCACATAGCTGATAGAAGTATCTTCCATGCCAGACAACGTGTTTCCGTTAATATCTCCCACACAGTTTCCCCGGAGCCACATCGGACAGCTGGCAGGGAGAAACAAGGAAGGAGAACAAAGCCCTGAGGCCAAAAGTCACCCTGGATGGGTGGTAAAGGCAGAGGAATGCTTCGGTGGTCGCGATGAGAGGAGAGTCTCCTCAACTGACCCGAAGAAAACCCCTCCATCCAAACTAAAAAGAGAACTGCCAGCATGGCTGAATTGAAGCCAGGAAGGCAGCTGAGACAGAAGTGAAAAAGAAAGGAAAGATCTTGTATGCTTAGACTAAGCATGCTTGTATGCTTAGACTAAGCATGCTTAGTCTTGGTAAGAATCACTCCAATTTCTGCAGTGGAATTTTCCTTGGAAAGTGGGACTCAAAGGAGGGAAATAGCTGCGATTAACGATCTGGAGTGACTGTCAGATTTAGTTTTAAAAAAAGATATTGCAGCTAGAAGTACCTTTAAAAGTAAAGGACAGATTGGATTGGTTAACCCAAATTTCTGGACTGTATTTTTACTACTACTCAACTTGAGGAACTTTAGGAAACTATTGGAAAACAATCTTATTCAGAGACATATTGATTGTAGTTAAAGTGTTTTAATTCAGTGAGTTTTGCTCTCTTTCAAAAATCCAGCATGCTTTGAACATCTTGTTACAGCCTATTGTTTACAGAGTAATAGCAGCAGCAATCACAGCAATAAATTCCTCCCACCCAGTAAATAACAGCTGCTAGTAAAACATTTAACCCTTTCCTTGCAGACTCTCAATACTACCTCATTACTTTAATCAAACATTGATTAATTCATTACCTCAAAACTTACAACTTTTCTACCTCATTACCTATATCAATGATTAGATAATCAATTTCTATAAAATATTTTATTAATGGTTTAATTGATTTATTGTTTTAATTGATTAGTGTGATTAGAGTGTTTAGTGCAAATGGTGTGATTACTGATTAGTTTAAAAGATCAAGATTCATGTAATTTAATTGATTAGTAAAATTAGTGATTTAGTGAATTTAATTGAACAGTGTGATTAATGATTAGTGTAATTAATTGATTAGCAATTAGTGTAATTAATTGATTAGGCTGATTGTTGCTTAGCAAAATTATTTGACTAGAGAGATTATTGCAATTGATTGATTGGTGTGATATTGGCTATATTGATTACCCAAAATTGTTTCATTAAGTAATTTAATCAACATACCATCTTAATAAACCTGTCATGCAAAAAAAAAATCCAATGCCAAACCACAACCTAAAGAGAAAGTAATCCCAACGAATGAACCACAAGACTCCTGCACATGCCTTAAATGTTACAAAACTCTAAAGGATAATGAAAATTCCATCAAATGTTCTCTATGTAACAAATATGCTCATCATGATTGCTTGGGATTACCTGAGCAAATGATTCAATACCTAGAATCATCCAATGAGTTTCCATATCTCTGCAAATAATGCAGACCCAAACTGGATCTGTTTGAAAGAGTTAATACCATAGAAACACAAATAACATCCCTTGACACCATGGTAGCATCCCTGGACGCTTTAAAGATTAGATTATCCAACCTTGAAAAAAAAACCACAATGCAAAAACCTGAACATCTAATAGCTACAAACCACATCTCTACCCAACAACCACAACCCAATCCATAACCCAATCCGCAAAAAAACATAAATCAGACAAATAATGATATCCCAATCCTCATCTGAGTTGAGCGTGAACGGAAACGTCCAAACGCCATCTTATTTGGTCTAGAGGACATCAATGACAATGATGACATCACAACTGTCCGAAACATCATCAGTGATTATCAAGCATCAACCATCTCCCCTGATGAAATACTTGACATTTCCCGCATTGGCTGAGAGCTCAAAAACAGAGACGGCTCTGTGGCCCCACGCTTCTGCAGGGTCATTTGCAAAAATGAATCAAGCAAACCTATATTCATTTATACTATAAATTCACTTGCCAAAAGCAACACCAACCATAAGAACCTCCGTTCTCGCCCTGACCTAACCATACAGCAACGTGCCCGCTCCCGTGTACTTGGCACTGAACTCAAAAAACGTCTAGACAATGGAGAGAAGGACCTGTACATTGACTACCATGCTGACTGTATCAAAAGTAAGTTACACAACCCGCAACTCAGCTTTAACCTTCAACCACAACCCTACCTCAACCAATCCCCCATCACCCAAGACTAGGCACGCACGCCCCTAACTACCTCAATTCCAACTACTGCTGGCCTTAAATGCAAGCTACTCAATGCAAGAAGCCTTGCGAATAAAATACCTGAATTTCTCCTCTTACTAAATATGGCTAAATTCGACATCATATTTGTCTGTGAAACATGGCTCAACGCATCTCTCCCTGACTCCATTACCACAGTAAGAGACTATCATTATTTACCGATCAGATCATAAAATTTGTAGAGGAGGTGGTGTTGCTATCTTCTATAAAAAGTCCTTACATCTAAAAAACATCCAAGTTACCCAGGAGCTTGCTCTTCCTGAGACCATCATCTGTGACCTATCCTTAAATATCACATTTCGATTCTTACTATGTTACAGAGCCCCTGATTATGACATCGAACATGTAAACAAGCTAAATTCACTACTAACATGGGCAACATCCTGCCCACACACTTTTATTTTTCTTGGTGACTTCAATCTACCTCATATTGACTGGACCCTAAATGAATGTACAACTGAACCCATACACGCAACCTTCTACAATGCTGTTACAAATCTGGGTCTGGAACAATTAGTAACCAACAATACTAGACTAAACAACTGCCTCGATCTCATCTTCTGCAATAGTTTGAACTTAATTTACGGAATACAAACTAAAGAATCCTTTTCCAGCAGTTACCACAATATGATTGACTTTTGTCTCAACATACGTCCACACAAAAATAATCACAATGACGTAATCCCCAATTATAACTTCAAAAAAGGCAACTATGATCTTATAGACAACGATCTTTCATCCCTTGATTGGCAATCTCTATTCACTGGAAGCAATACTGTTGAAGACCATTACAACATATTTTTACTTGAAGTCAAAAGAGTCATCAAACTATATGTACCAACAATAACTCCCAAAACAAAAAAAAAACAGATTACCCATAACAATAAGGAAACTTCAATCCAAAAAGAGATCACTCTAGTGGAAAAACAAATCTGGTCACATTGCCAATTTCAAAAGCGATACAAAAATTTATGCCACCAGATAAAGACTGAATGCACCAATTATCACATTAAACAAGGGGAAAACCTTCCACGTACCAATTCCACCCACGCTTTTTACAATTTTGTAAACAACAAACTAAAAGACTCAAGGTCCATCCCACCCCTGATAGGACCTAATAGTAAAGACTGCAACGACAACACCATTAAAGCCAACATCTTTAACACATTCTTTGGCTCACTATTTCTAAACAGCAATGGATCATGCCCAGTATTTCCTAGCCGAACCACAGAAAACTACAATGATCTAATACATATCGATTTTACAGAAGACAATGTTGAAAAAGCACTACACAATCTAAAACCATCTCTATCTATTGGACTGGACGGAATATGTGCCTACTTCTTAAAAAACCTATCCTCTGCCATAGCAGAACCTCTAAGCATAATCTTTGAAAAATCTTTCAGGACCAGCTCCTTGCTTAACCTATGGTCACAAGCCACGGTTATCCCCATCTTCAAAAAGGGAGACCCCAGCCTAGTTGAAAATTACAGACCAATCTCTTTATGCTGCATCACCTGTAAAGTCATGGAATCAATTATTAACCAATCCATTATCCTCCACTTAGAAACAAACAACCTACTCTCTAATAAACAATTTGGTTTCAGAAAAAAACTATCCTGTAACCTGCAACTCTTACACTGCAAAAACATATGGACTACACAACTCGATCAGGGCAAAACAATAGACGCAATCTACATAGACTTCTGTAAAGCCTTTGATTCAGTGGTACACAACAAACTACTCCTAAAACTAAAATCTTATGGTATCTCTGGACAACTGCATAACTGGATAGAAGCATTCTTGTCAAACAGACAACAAATTAATGATTTAGTGAATTTAATTGACCAGTGTAATTAATTGATAAGGCTGATTGTTACTTAGCAAAATTATTTGACTAGAGAGATTACTGTAATTGATTAATTGGTGTGATATTGGCTATGTTGATTACCCAAATATCTTGTTTCATTAAGCAATTTAATCAACGTACTATCTCATCAAACCTATCATGCCAGGAAAAAAATCCAATGTCAAACCACAACCTAAAGAGAAAGAAATCCCCACTAATGAACCACAAGACATGCTTTATATGCAATGAAACCCCAAAGGATAATGAAAATTCCATCAAATGTTCTCTATGTGACAACTATGCTCACCATGGCTGCTTGGGATTACCCAAGCAAATGACTCAATTCCTAGAATCATCCAACCATGCATTTCAATATTTCTGCCCATCATGCAGACCTAAACTGGACAAATATATTGCCCTGTTTGAAAGAGTTGATACCATAGAAACACAAATAACATCCCTTGACACCATAGTAGCATCCCTGGACATTTTAAAAGAAAGATTAACTAACCAACTTATTGTCTCCACACCACGAAAGCAACTGGTCCACCTCATCTCAGTAGGCAGACTCATTCCCCCTGGAGATGAGTCCCACCACTGTTGTATCATCTGCAAATTTAGTAATAATATTACCAGCGTGAGTGGGAATGCAGACATGCACATAAAGAGTATAGAGTAAAACTCAGCATCCAATCCTGTGGTGTACCAGTGTTAAGAATAAGGGCTGAAGAGGTATGATTACCTAATCTGACCCTCTGTGAGCAGCCAGACAGAAAATCCATAATCCAAAGGCAGACTGAATAGGAATAGGAAAATCCAAGGTCCAGAAGTTTAGACACTAGTCTATGTGGAAGAATTGTGTTAAATGCAAAATCTACAAAAAGCATCCTCACATAGCCCCCCCCCCACCGCTATTCTAGATGAGTCAGAACAG